TAATTCTAATTTCTATATTTTATTTCCCCCTATAACCTCTTTACACTATACTGTAATTTATAAACTTTCCTCTATTTTAATATCTTTCTAACTCTCTTTCCATTAATCCCTTAAATCCGTTTATCTATATATTTTGAATTTATTTTTAGACCCCTTTTTGCTCCTATTTTAAATTAATATTTCATTCTTCATATAATCCCAAAATAATGTCATAAGGTTAATATTTGGGTTTAATTTTATAAAACTTCTTTCTTTTAAAACAAATACCTTCCACCCTCCCCTAACCCCTGCCCCTTGCTCTTTGTCTGACTGAAACATTTAAATAGATAAATTCTGTATTAGTTTTTCGACAGGTTGATTTTTTAGTTTTCACTGCTAAATTCTACTTCCTCCCCCCCATACCCAAACTGTATAGACACATACATACTTAGTCCACACTGGGGTTGATAAGACAGACGACTGATATCTTCATCTGTCGAAATAGGCTATTCCTCATATGAGGTAATTTTTGATTTTATTGTTTATTAATTATATTGCTCTGTATTAATAAATACATTGAGCTCTTTTTGTGGATCAGTTTTAATATTTTATATTACTAGGATCAATTTTTTGTAGTGTGTTGTTTTCATTCTTGACTTCAGCTGGATCCAAAATTAACTGTTTTAACTTCATGCTCCAAACTATTGTTGATATTTTTTTCTAATAAAGAAGAAAGGAAAAAAAAAAAAAAATGAAATAAAATTAACATGGCTAGTCGGGCTGAATAGTTCTGAATCTGATTGAAGCTGGAGACATACTTAATAGGCAATGTATTTCTTGCTTTAATTTTATGAATAATCTTTTTAAAATCTCTAATGACTTGTACTCCCTCTTTTTCAAAGAACGCATTTTTATTTTGACTTATTGTTTCCAAATGTCTATTTTAAATAATTTATTCTGTACAGTATAAGGTTTTTTAGCGGAATGTATCTTTTGAGAAAGGACAAATTAAATTTAGCCCAACCTTAAATTCAACAAAAATCAAATAAAATAGCAGCCTTAACTTATCGACTGGAGGGTTGGGGTGAGGAGTGTGACTGGGGTAGTGTTGAGGAAATATACCAGTCAGCAGTACTAATCATAAACTTATACAATAAATTAAACTAAAAATTCACAGAGAGCACATATTATTAAAAAAAAACAAACAAAAAAAAAACATGCATATCTGGCTTCACTCTTTTTTCTTACATACCTGGAAAATGTTTTTAAAATAAATGTTTATTTTTATAGAAAATAATTAAAATGTGTTTTATTTTTAATTTCATGCAGAGATTTTAAAAAAAAGGAATCATTTTAAGTTATACCAATAGTATATTTTGTTAAAGATTGTAATAGGCCTGGCAAGCTATATATAGTGCTGCTTGAAAGTTTGTGAACCCCCAAACATGGTCATTGTTATTTTTGAACAAATTTAAAATGAGCCTATTAAATGTGCATCCAAACATCAATTTGAAAGTAAATTTTCCAAATAATGAATGCAAAAAAAAAAAAAGGATGTATTTTAATTATTTAAAAAAAAAAATCAATTTATTTCACCAAAACTGAAAATTTGACATGTGCAAAAGTATGCGAGACCTTTTAGTTAGTACCTTGTGGAACTTCCTTTTGCAGTGATTACTTCAACCAAATGTATTCTGTAGCCACTGATCAGTTACTCGCATCTGTTGTTAGGGGTTTTGCCCACTGCTCCTTTCAAAACTCAGCCAAATGAGAGTGGTTGGAGAGACATCTGACATGAACCATCAGGTTCAGTTCTAACCACAACATTTCTATTAGATTGAGATCTGGACTTTGACTAGGCCAATCCAGAGTATGAATCCTCTTCCTTTTAAGCCATTGCTTGGTAGTTTTGCTGGTATGCTTAGGGTCATTGTCTCATTGCAGAACCTGTTTTCGGACAAGCTTCAACTACCTGACTGATGGCAGGAGATTCTGATCCAGAATTTGTTGATAGGATTGAGAATTCATATTTTCCTGGCTAATATGGAGTTGTTTAAATCCAGAGGCAGAAAAGTAGCTCCAAATCTTAATATTTCCACCACCTTCACTGTTGGAATGAGGTTCTTCGCATTGTAAGCAGTGTTGGCTTTTCTCCAAACATGGCAGTTGTGATTGTGACTAGACAATTCTATCTTTGACTCATCTGTCCAGAGAATGAACTTCCAGAAGGCCTCTGATTTGTCCAAGTGTTCTCTGGCAAAGTTTAAATGGGCAGCTTTGTTGTTTGTCTAGAGCAGAGGTTTCCTTCTAGAAGCACTCCAGTGAATGCCATATCCATTCAATTTTCATCTGATTCTAGACACATGTACATTTACTCCAGATGCTGCCAGAGAGATCTGCTACTCTCTTCAGGTGATGTGTGGGTTGGCTTTTACCTCATTTATTTTTCTAGTGTTTCTTGGTGATAGTTTTGATGGGTGTCCACTTCTAGGAAGAATTGCGGTTGTGTTAAATGCCCTCCATTTGTAAATTATTTGTATTACAGTGGATGGATGGATGGATGGATGGAGTTTCATTTTTTTGAGATAGTCTTATAGCTTTCCCCAGATTCATGAAAAGTCAGTAACTTCTTGATGTTATCCGATATATCTCCTTTCATCTTGGCATTGTTGATCTGTCAGGCATTACAGATAGTTTCCCTTCTATTTTAATCTTTGCTACCTAACCAATTTACTAAGGATGTCTCATTTGATTGGTCAGCTTAAATTGAATAATTAAGCACCCAAATATGTTTCAGCTGAATTTATTACTTACTTGACTTTACCAGTATATAATGGGGGGGGGGTCACATTTTTGCACATGTCAGAGTTTCAGTTTTGGAGAAATAAATCATATTTTTAAAATAAATAATTAAAATGCATCCTTTTTGTTTGTTTGTGTTGATTAGTTGTAAAGTCTACTTTACAAATTGGTGTTTGGATGCACATTTAATAGGCTTATTTTAATTTTTTTCACAATATCAATAGCCATGCAATTGGCTGGTCACAAACTTTCAAGCAGCATTGTATATACAAACAAGTTTGATTGAAAAAAAACCAACAAGGTCTTACTGTTTAATTTTTTATTACATTTTTACAACCTTCGAATAAGGTATTGCAAAGTTGTAGATAAACCATCTAAAGTTCATATTTTGTTATTGTTCAAGTACTTTTGACTGTTACAGTTATTATCAAGAAACTATGTGGTGTCTGTGTGGTAGTTAGAATTCATTTGTCTACATCCTGGTATTCTTTGGAAAGTTAGGAAGTTTGAATGAGTTTCTATATGTACTTTCTAACTTTTTTATCTGAATCAGAATTTATGAATTTTAATATTTTTATATCTTACTGTGTTGTGCTAGAGAATTTTTCTTGACAGAATCTGTCTTACACATTTATAAATCTGCAATTCATTCATGTATTGAATATTGCTACTACATCTGGTCTGGTGCTTCTGCTATATATTTAGAGTTTCTTGATAAAGTCCAAAGAAGAATCTGCAATGTTATCAGTCCTGATCTGGTATCATAGCTTCAGTCACTTTTCCATCATTGTAACATAGCTCCTCTACTTTTTCTATAAATATTTTCATGATAATTGTTCTGATGAATTTTCGTCTTTGGTACCTTGACTTTATGAATTTAAGTGTAATACTAGATTGGCAGTTAAGCCTCATCATTTTACAGTTGAAATTGTTAGATGTAACCATAAGTTCTGTGATAACAGTTTTCTTGCTTTGCACTTTTCATATGTGGCACTTTCTTCCAGCTTATTGCTTTCCAAGTAAATCTGATCTTCAAAAATTTAGATGCAATATCAAACATTATCTTCTGTTTTCTTAATTCTTGTTCTTTTATTGTTCTCTTTCCCTAATAATGTTTTTCTTTTTCTTATATTCTTTCACACTAAATAAGTCTTTGTGACTTAATTGCTTCACTTGAGGTGAACTAATTAAAAAAATATTTTTAATTTATTTTTTTGAATGAAAATTAAAAATGTATCATAAATTTTATATATGAAAATTAATTTAACCTATATAGCCACCATTTACGCAGTGTTAGGTATATTTAGATTTTTTCTTTTTAAAATCTTTTTATGAGTTCAGTATGAACTGTGTTATGGTAAATATAGTAAAGGAAAGTGTGAAGTAAGGAGTATGCATCAACTGCAGAAGGAATGTAAGGTTATCAGTAAAAGAAGCAGCCCAACATGCAAATTACAATTCGGGGATATGAAAAGTGCAAAAATTTAAATCTCTAGGAAGTGTTTTAACAGAGATTGGAAAATGCAACACTGAAATATGAAGGCGCAAAAGATGCTTTCCAGAAGTTAAGCAAAGTATTAAGAAACAGGAAAATTTCATTGGAAACAAAGAAATGAGTACTGAACTGTTATGTAATATTCTTACATCTATATAGCAGTGAATGTTGAACCATCTCATCATAGATGAAGAAAAAACTTGAAGCAACAGAAATTTGGTTCTACAGAAGGATGCTGAGAATACCATGTACAGAATGAAAAAAACTTATACATGGAATCAGAAATTAGTAGTTGCCTAGTGAGCTTGTGGGTTGGTAAAACAGGGATTAGAAGATATAGCAAAAATGACAAACTTTACTAAGAGTTACAAAGGGCAGGAAGTTGTTAAGAGTCATGATCGCCCACGTCTTGAAGAGTCACAGCACATAGAAGAATGGAAACTAATCTTTAAAATATACAAAAGTTTATTATTGACCTGTGCTGCTTTCATTGATTTATGAGAAAAAATGGCTTCAACCCTGACAATAAAAAATTTCTATCATATGGAGGTTGTTATCTCAGCACATTCTGAAAATCAATCTTATTGACTTTGATGGCTTATTAAAAGAAACTAACAAATAAAATAATCAATATTTCTGCAACAAAAGTGAATCTTTTTTCCTCTCGGGAATTGGGGGTTGTCATAAATTTGTAATTGTGCTGATATCACAGAAATTATTTTTAATGACCTTCTTTTTCAAAAGTTGGAAAATATTTCTTTTAATGTTAGATATCATTATCTCAGTAGTTAAATGCAATTATCTATTTAATTCTCTTCTTTATCTCTATCAGTAATCTATCTCATTCTGTTCATATCTATCTATCACGTTCTGTTCATATCTATCTATCACGTTCTGTTCATATCTATCTCTCTCGTTCTGTTCATATCTATCTATCACGTTCTGTTCATATCTATCTCTCTCGTTCTGTTCATATCTATCTATCTCGTTCTGTTCATATCTATCTATCACGTTCTGTTCATATCTATCTCTCTCGTTCTGTTCATATCTATCTCTCGTTCTGTTCATATCTATCTATCTCTCGTTCTGTTCATATCTATCTCTCGTTCTGTTCATATCTATCTCTCGTTCTGTTCATATCTATCTCTCGTTCTGTTCATATCTATCTATCTCTCTCGTTCTGTTCATATCTATCTATCTCTCACGTTCTGTTCATATCTATCTATCTCTCACGTTCTGTTCATATCTATCTATCTCTCACGTTCTGTTCATATCTATCTATCTCTCACGTTCTGTTCATATCTATCTCTCTTGTTCTGTTCCGCCTATACAATTATTAGTAGAAATATATTTTGTGCAAATTCTAAAGTTTATAAATTCTTGTACAATGGTTGTCCTTTTTATATATACCAGCAGTATATATGTTGATTTTCTTTTTTAACTATCTGAAATCCAGTAGCATTTTCAATATTCTAATGATTTTGTATATTTTCCATATAAAATATTTAAAATAAATATATATATAATTTAATGATTTCAGCTTTTCAAAGAATAAATTTATATCTGTATCATGATTTTAATAAAACTGCATTTTTGTTTCTAAAAATTCCTGCAAATAATTTAACATTTAAAGAATTGTTATTAATAAATAGTTTATTGTTAAAATGTTTTATACTTGTATAATTGGCAGTAGGGTGTATTTATAATGAGAGCATGGGATTGTAGCTATACTGTTTTAGAGTTGCATACTATGGTATTAGTGTGTATTTATGCCAGTTGTGCTGAAGAGTTCACAGCTTGACTAACTTCCCGAAATCTAACTAAACAGAATTTTTTTTTAAATACGTTTTTGGTCAGTCTAGGAACTTTTCAGCACTCCTTCATATTGATAATATTAGTTTCTAATTATAATGTTTAAAACTGGCATACTGGCTGTGCTTATAGTGATACTGACAGCTATAACTTAGCATTATGGTGTATTTATAGTCATAACAATTAACATTGTTGTTTTTAGACTGGTCTGCTGGTGTACATGAAAAAATATGACACTTTGTAAACTTTTACTAAGTAATTTTGGTTTATAATGATGAGAAAGATATTGAGAGAAACAGTTCCAAATAAAATATTTAATAATGAGTATATTTCCTACTGAAAAAATGTGTGCAATAAAACAATGGTTAGTGTTAGTCCTGCATGCCATTGCTAGTGAGGATCAAACTTACTAAGTGTTCCCTTAAGTTGGTCTAGTGTATTAATGCATTGAACCATGAATTTAGTGGCATAGTAATTGTGAGTTCAGTCTCTGGTTTCGATTATACAGACTTGGACTAAAAACAAAGCAAGCAATAACTTAGCAGTACTAAAAAGAACAAGATGAGATATCCCTACACATGGACAGCAGAATGAGAACAAGATAAAAATAAAATTGTTCAGTTCAAAATTCCCTGAATATTACAGGGATTAAAGAAGGCCAGAGAGCATAACGGCTGAAATGTTTTGATAATGAAAAAGAATAAGATAATAGTCCACATGTAAATGATGTTAACTTCTTATCCCAGAATTTTAGACAGAAAATTCTGTTCATTTCATATTAACATCATTGGGAAAGACATGAATCCATATCATCTCTTGCCAATGACACATACTGGGGCTTTCCATTTCCAAACAACAATGATTTCAAAACAAATCCCCTTAAGGTGTCTGAATGCCAATTTTGACTTTTTTCTAGTAGCTCCTGCAGCCAAGCTAATGTCGAACGTATCACTCTGCATTCCTTTAGACAACATCAATGAGACCAAGAGGAAAATCTTGTTGACTGAGTATTCTAGCATCTAAACCCACACCACCCCAGGCTTATGCCCTGGAGTGATGACTTCCGTGTCGGTTGCACAGTTGTTTACAGAGACAAAAAGAAACCAGTAATCAATAATCTGTTCTTTTTGTTAAAGTTGTCCCATACCATGTGGAACAGTTAAACATGTTGGTTGATCATTTAAGGTATCTCATTAAATTCAACAGGGTCTAAGGAAACAAGGAAAAGAATAAAATCCTTTCTGCCTAACCATATTTTAAGGCCAAGATCTAAATATTCATGGATCTCCACAGCTTTCTTTTAATCTTGAATTTCTATAACTGTTCGCAGCAAAGGTAGCAGAATGTGATAATTCAATATTGGCAGAAACTTTATTATTAAAACATAGTACTTGGTACCATTTCTCATATAGTTGTCTATATGTTGGGGATCTACGTTGAGTTTTTTCCTTTGATTTCTATTAATATTGTTTTTAGCATAAAAGAGACTCTTATCATATATGACTCATATAGATTTCACTAATGCCAACAAATTTTGACCCCTCTGCAAACTAAGAATTCAAAGGAAATTTTTAACCTTTCTTCTTCTATGTGCCTTCAGGATATGGGCGATCATGACTTTCATCAACCTCCTGTTCTTTGAAACCCGTAGTAAAGTTTGTCATTTTACTCTATCTTTTACCAACCATTTATTCTTGCCTTCAACATGTCTTGTGAGTATTAAATTTTTAAGCCCTCTTTCCTCATTATGTGCCCTAGAAATTTCATCTATCTCTTTCTGATGCTATGTATGAGAGTCCTTTTTGTTTCCATTTTCTCTAAAACTTTGTCAAGCCCATGGTAATCTCAGCATTCTTCTGTAGAATCAAAATTTCTATTCCCTCAAGTCTCTTCTTCATCTGTGATGAGATTGTTCAACATTCACTGCCATATAGGAGTACCAGTATTACATAACAGTTCAGTACTTTTTTCTTTGTTTCCAATGAAATTTTCTTGTTTCTTAATATTTTGGAAGAGATTTTTCATTATCTAAATGTGCCTTCAGATTTTGATGTTACATTTTCTGTCCTGTATTAAAACACTTCCTAGATATTTAAAATTTTTGTCCTCATTTAATTTTGTTAAGTTTGTAATTCACATGTTGGGCTGTTACTTTTGCTGACAATCATGTTCTTTCTTCTTGCTTTCTTTTACTAACTTCTGTAGAAGCTCCTTTCTGTGTTTGCTATCAACACTGTGTCATCTGCATATCTAATGTTGTTAAGATTGTGGCTTCCAATAATGAATCCTGGTAAGACTTCTAATTCATTCAGGATTGCTTTACTATAAACTGACCTAATTATTATGTTCACACCCCCCTCCTCCACATTTATTAGGCAGGGAAAAATATTTACTGATGATTACATTTGACCTAATTATTATGTTCACCCCCCCCCTCCTCCACATTTATTAGGCAGGGAAAAATATTTACTGATACACATTTGATACACATTATGAATACAAAAATTTGATTAATATTTGAAGATGCCCTGTCTACAGATAATGCAATAAAAAGCAAAAACAACAACCTTTTTATGTTCAAATATGAGAATAAAGAATGCAAACTGTCATGTTTTGGGATTATTTTGTAATAATTACCATGCAGACCAGGGGTTTCAAAGCTTTTTCTGTGTCATCACCCCACTTTCACATGGAAAGATTTCCACCACTCAAATATTCAAAAAAATACCCAAATTGTTTGGTAATTTTGTTACTCGTTCATAAACTGACTTTAAAATATAGTAAAAAATACCAAAAGGAGATAAAAAATAACATGTGGCAGCTGCAGCTGTGACTACTGCTGCTGCTACCATATTAAAAAACAAACAAAAGCAAACTTAACCATTGAAAACCATATAGAAAATACCAAAATATTTTTCTTGTTTGCAGAGATATTTATAGCTTATATAGGAATGTGACCCAGTTATTCCCATTTAAACTCCTGGTTTTTTTTTTTTTTTAATGCAATTTCTTTGCAGATCTCCTTTGAATAGTTTTTGGTGATGTAATACCACTCATTGAACCTGGTCAATGATATCCAATAGTGTCACCCCCACAAGTTGATCCTCATAATGTAGCCCTATGACTTGTGTTAGTCTTCAAGTTCCTTCAGACCTTGATTACCATTTAGCTAACTCTACACTTGTTAGCATATGATTCATTGTTGCTGGTATCATGATGGTAGACATGGTTCCACTTGACTTAGCTGGTGTTTGTTCATGACCATTCATTCCTTTGCCACTTTGTGTTTTTTGATCTCAGAGGGATGAAGCAAACTGAAGTGAAGGCGTTTCAACAACTTGGGAGCTACACAAAAAAAGAATCCTTTGGAACAAAAAATTAATTCCAGTTAAAAATGTAACAATGATTTGGTTTATATATGATTTGTTCTATACAGCAGTTTTAACCCTTCCCATATGTTGTTATGATCAAATAAGACTGGGATCTCCTTTGGAGTCTGCAGCTTGTATTAATACTAACGTAAATTTCTAAGTTCTGGTCTTCAGGGCCAGTACAAGGTCTTAGTCAGGAGGTCTTGACAAACAATGTGGATTCCAGTAGTAGCAGTATGGGGACTTTTTGTGTTTGTCTTTCTCTCTCTCAGCTGTCCAAAGTCTCCAGCTTGTATAGAGTTCTGTGTCTGGCAGGGGTGGGGTTGACTAGGGTTTGGGTTTGGTTGTCTTCTACCTTAAGCATCTTCAGGATAGGTATACACAAATGATTGGAGTATACTCTTAGGCAGATGATTTACATCGTCAAAAGAGGGTTGAACAGAGTGAGCCCTGAAGGACACCTGTGTTGATCACTTGGGCCTCAGAGGACTCATTAAGAAGGACTTGATAATTAAGAAGACTCTCTCAGTGAACCCATAGCTAGAGAGCTTGTGCAGTGACCCTTTTATGTCACACTTTGTCACATTGGGGGATGCCTTTGGTTTGACACTGACTAGTGAATGATCTGAAATTTATAAAAATTCAGGGAAGCATTTTTCAGGAAAGGATGTGAGGAAGAAGTTAAGGAACTTCACTTGATATCCTTTTGCATCAGTAAAGTTGGTTGATTTTATTTAATGAAACATCATCTTCTATGGGCCATTCAGCACTGAAATCTAAATATTTTGTATGTAATTTTATGCTTTCAACTACAGTTTTTGTACATAATTTTATGCTTTTAGAGTATGTATGTTTTTTAGATATTTTTTTAATCGGTATCACCTCATGCAAGGTAGTAAAGCCACTAAGACACAAGGGGTTACAGGGTGTGGAAGAATTCGGAACAGAAACATTAATTAGGAACAGAAACATTAATAATGAGTGGAAAAAGAAAAAAGTAATCAGGAGGACAGTTGATAGTGATTGACATTGCATTTAAATTTTTGCAGATTAAAGTTGGTTGGAAAGCATGGCGCCAAAAGAGAGTTCCACAAGTGAGAAATGTGAGAAAAGAAGCTATTAGCATAGAA